CTTGGGTTTCTGAGGCAGTATCACTATGGAAGTAGATTGCCCAACCTTCCTTCCGAGGAGTGGCTGGTGGGTTTGAACTGCCAGCCTTCTGGTTAGCTGTCAAAATGCCCTTGGTTTACTAATGAAAAGGAAAAACAAGCAAAGGGCAGATGGATGCTTAGTGGAGACCTGGTGTACAATGGTGGACCAACACTGAGTATGATCACTTGCCCTAAGTACTTTTAGGTGCTTGATTGTGACCCACTCACAGTGCCTCCACACCTCCACCCAGGAGGGCACCCTGAGGCAACAACCCTCCACCTTACATGAGAGGCAGAGAGGGGGCCTCTGGTCAGTGTGTCCCAGTCACAGACCTACAACAGACACCCTGGATACCTGGAGGTGGGGAATGGAGTCAGCAGAATGAAAAGGCAATGAGACCATAGAGGTATGGGAGGGCAGAGGAAAAGTTGATGTTACTGTTCAAGGAACAAGCATGTCACTCAGAACAAACACACCAGCAGCCTGCAGCTGGTGTTGGCCACTGTTCAAGGGTGGAGAGTGCTAGGTCTCTGTGAAGGACACACCTCCCTTTTCACTGAGGCAGAAGGTAGCCACCATATTCTATTCTAGCTGGATGTCTGGTAGCCCAGGAGCTGCCACCTGCCACCAGGATCCCCTGGCAGAGAGGAAGTCACCAGAGTAGGCAGGACTTCAGCCACAGGAGGTTGTGACAGTAGGGATCTTAAGAAGGATCCCACCCTAAGGCTGAGCTCTATGTTCTTGTGCAGATGGGGTTTCCTAGAACATTGGGGCCACAGAGACACTACAGCCTCAGGGACTTCCTGGATAGAAATCGGCAGGTCACACTTCTGCCTTCTCCCTGTCTTCAACCCCATCCAGGAGCCCTGTGGCTTTTGGGAGCTAGCCAAGACCCTCTGGCCATAAGGCCGAGAGCCAGCCTCCCCTGGCCAGATAAGCCCTGGGAAGCTGCCCAGACCTGAGTAGGGGCTGCAGAACCAAGCCTGGTACCCAGCTTCCTGGGTACAGACCCACAACAAGAACAGAGGGGTGGTTTTGCATTGGCCGTAAAGTGAGAGGGTGATTCTGCCAGCCTGATGCAGGTGGGCACATACATACCTGCAGGCTTAAAAAAAAAAAATACTGCCAGTTTGTCAATTCTGACTCATAGTGAATCCTACTGGGTTTCTGAGGTGGTAAACCTTTAGGGGAGCAGATTACCCCATCTTCCTTCCACAGAACAGCTGATGGGGCTAAAACTTCCAGCCTTCTGGTTAGCAGTCAAATGCCTTTGGCACTGCACCTCCAGAGCCCCTGCAGGTTAGGTATTGAGTAATCAAGGCCAAGTAGACTCAAAATCTGCTTAAGGGAATGAGTGGAGTGCCTAGTCTTCAACGGTCTCCTCGTAAGCTGGTTCATATGATTTCCAGCATCCTAACTAGGGCATCATTGAGGATCATGCTCACAAAGAAAGCTTTCTGTTGTCTCTGCAGTGCAGTTACATATCAGTATCCTGGGAGTGTGGTCACAGTCCTGGCCATTTGGGACACTTGGTCTATATTGTGTGCACTCCAGCAGCTATGCTGGCCTCCCTGACTCCCTTTATCAAACTCTTGCCAAAAAGGATCTGGGGAGCAGACCACTGTGCATTAGAGGGTCACCAGCCACGAAAGGATCATCTCTTCACATCTCTTCACTCAGCCACAGTGCTGTTGACCCCATTCAAGCTTCCAGTGTTTATACCAGTGCTGTCTGTAGCATGCTGTCCTGAATTCTTCCTTCATTTAAAGAAGAAAATGAAACAAAATAGAATAAAATAAGCAACTCTTGTCGTGCATTTGGGACCTGTCTTAGTTCTCTAGTGCTACTGTAAAAGAAATACCACAAGTGGGCAACTTGAACGAACAAGTTTATTCTCTCACAGTTTAACCAAACCAAACGTACTGCCATTGAGTCGGATCTGACTCATAGAGACCCCTCCTTGGGTTTCCGAGGCGGTATCACTACAGAAGTAGATTGCCCAGTCTTCCTTCCAAGGAGTGGCTGGTGGGTTTGAACCACCAGCCTTCTTGTTAGCAGTCAAATGCCTTAGGCACTACACCTGAATTCAGAGCACTGGCTCTAGGAAAAGATTTTCTGTTTGTGTCATGTGTCAGCTCTGTCCTTGTTTCTTCAGGTTGTTTCCTGGTTCCTTGGAGATCTCCATCTGTCTTGACATTAATTTTCTCTTGCTGCTGCTTCTTTTGCTGCTTGGTTTAATCTTTTTTGTATCTCAAAAGAGATTGATTTAAAATATACCCTACATTAATTTAACTCACTAACATAACAAAGGCAGCTCATTCCCGAATGGAATTATAACAACAGGCACAGAAGTTAAGATTTACAACACATATTTTGGGGATGAAATTCAATCCATAGCAAGTCTTTTCCAGGATGGCTTCTCTGTTCAGTTGTACTAACTCCAGGAGTTGAGCACACAGAATGGGAGAGCCAGTGGTCCTGGCAGGGTCCACAAAGCACTCCACTTACCAGTGAGTAAGCCTATTGTGGCAGGACCAAGAGAACTTGAGTTCCAACCTCATGCTGCTTCTTGCAGAGGACACACAGAGCTAAGGCTGTGTGGTCAACATAGTCAGTTTGGCTGTTCCACCAAAGAGCTTGGCTATTTAGTCATTGACCCAGCTGTGTGTGCAGACAAGGGCTACCGGCTTCAGCAAAGGAAACCTCAGGACACACAGGTGATTCTGAATCCCAGATCAACAAGGAGTGCATTTTTACTGTAAGAATGCTGAGATACTTATCCAGAACATCCTTTGTTATGCATCTGAAATGCAAACTTATCTGAGCACTTAGTATTTTTCCAGATGTGATGCCAACAGCCCCGTCTCTGCAATCAGGGAAGCACCTAGTTGAGGTGAATGTGGTTGACAGAATCCGGTGGGCCACGGATCTGAGGACTGTGTCCCTGTCCAAAAGCCATACTCACTTCATGCTCACCCCCAATGCCTCCCACAGGCAGCTGGGCTCAAGCCAAATACCTGCCTCTGGGGCTAAGGAGCCGAGTCCATCTCTGAGGCCCTGTTAGGTGCAAGTGAATGTGAGGGACCTCCGCACATCACAGCAAGAGTGAACAGGCACTGTGCAGGTCTGAGGGCAGACAGGGTGGGAGGGTGTGGACTTGGTAAGGAGATGAGGAGGCCATGAAAATGGGTGCTCAGAATGAGGAGGTGGTAGCATTGATGGACAAGAAGACTTGTGGGCTTTGATGCAGATGTAGTTTGGGGAATGAGCTCACCCCTGCTCCCTGAAGAAGAGTCCATGGCTGGGATCTGCACTGCTGGTCTCTGACTCACTTCTGAAACCTGTCCATCGTGGTTTTGTGGAACCTTGAGTACAGCTGTTCATGAGCTCTTACTGAAAGCAAAATGCCCCATTTTCTGAAAATGGGAAAAATCACATAATATGAATCCCTTACCTGGGCTACTCAAGGAGCTGTGGTGGCATAGTGGATAAGGCATTTGGCTGCTAACCAGGAGATCACTGGTTCAAACCCACCAGCTGCTCTGGGGAAGGAAAATGGGGAAGTCTACTTCTGTAAAGATTTTCAGCCTCAGAAACCCAATGGGGTTGCTATGAGTCAGAATCAACTTGATGTCAGTCAATTTGGTTTTTGGTGACAGGGCTGCTCTGGGCATTCAGGAATGAGCTTCTTGTAGAGACTGTGAAGAGGAGAAAGAGTGACAAACAGATACACACAGAGAAAGGGACAGAGACACATGAACAGAGAGAAACTCACAGAGAAGGAGCAAGCATTGTGGCTGTTCTCCCCCTCCCCCACCTGGTCCCCCACTCCCAGACACTTTGAGCCCTGAGCTGCAGAATCCACCAAGTAGGGCCACCCAATCCAAACTCCTTTTTCCCTTATCCTCCTTCTCTTTCGTATTGCAACTCAGACTTCTCACTAAACATCATTCACAGAAACTCATTTATGTCCTGATTTGAGAAAGACCCTGGGTCTTAGTGAAATGATTCTCTTTGAGGTAACTGCCACAAAGGCAGGAGAAAGGCTCAGCACAATATTTTAAAGCAATTCATATCAAAGCTTTTTTATATCTCGTGAAATATCCCACACAAGCCCCTACAATAGGTCTACCCACACACTGCCAGTGTCCATGTGCCCAGTGAAGTGCTTGCCCCTTCCAGTGAGGATATGTGTCCTTGTCCCTTAGCCCAGAGTAGAGGACCCTACCCTTACCCAGCCAGTTGCTCCAGCACA